GATGTCTTAATTTAACCATAGGATTAATTTTCATTTTCACATATTTAGCGTAAACTTTTATTTTTAAATGTAGTATTAATTGTTCATAAAAAAAAGTAGTTTTAAGTACTAAAATATTATAAAATATATAAAATGAAAATACCATAAACTTACACCCCAATTTTTTTTTAAATAAAAAAAATTTAATAAATATTTCTCAGTCAACTTTTTCACTCATAATTTTTTTTATATAATTTGAAAAACACACTCTCTACGAATCTACTACGTTTTAAAAAATTAATTGACTTTTATGGACATGAACACCAACTATCCAACTAACAAAACTTAGGTTGACAAAGTCGACCTGTCCCGATTCAACCCAATAATAAATATTAAATAGCTCGAGTAAACATGCCATGCTTAAGCCCAATAAGATCAAAAAATCCTGAAGGGACCCTCCTGGGCTCATGGTCAATGATGGTGTAACCGTGTAAATAAGGATGAAAGACTCGCTTTGTGGTGATAATGGTCACTGAATTGTTGGATTTGCCAACTGCCAAGTATTTAGGAGGTGGAACCAGCAACAATGTGGGACTCTGGAAAGTTTAAGGGTATGTTTGGTGCAATTTCTTAACTACTTCAGTTTCTTGACATTATTTAAATTTTATAAGTTTAAATTTTTTTTAAAAAAATTTATATAAAAAGTCAAAAGTTTTAAATTTAAACTTTTTATAAATTTTATTTTTACTTATTTTTACTCACTTTTTTATTTTTAAAAATAATTTTTAAATTATTTTTAATAAAAATTTAAATTTATCACTTATAAATAATATTTTACAAGTAAAAACTTCAATAAATTACACCGAACAAACAAGCTCTAAGTGGGCTTTGAAATAGCAGACTTTACGTTGAATTAGACTCACTTTACATACTGTCAGCATCTTTAGCCAATCTGTTGCGGCTTGTAGAAAGGCCTGCTTGATAACTGAAGGTAATGAGAAAGTCACTGCACTTGCCAAATATGTGGCTGGGGTATGGACCGTGTGGTCCAATTTGAAGCACAATTTGGGAAAGGAGGGGGCGGAATCTGTCCCGTCAAAAATTGCGGCAAGGGTGTTTATCCTTGTCATTAGCGGGACGGGAACAAGGAGAGATTTCATGATTTTGCAGGGTCTCGTTGTCATTTTTAATTATTAATCTTAGAGTTAAACAGTG